ATTTTAATTTTTTTTTTTTTTTCCTTCATTTTTACATCCACGTTGCACGCACCTCTTTATCCCCTCCACTGGTGTGCTGTTCATTTTGCAGCGCGGAGGAAAATTCCCGCATGAGGGTCTCTCCGTTTATCACTACCGAGCGTTTGGCGTTTCTCCGTTTGTCGCTCCTCCGTTTGTCGCTCCTCCGTTTGCCGCTCCTCTGTTTGCTGCTCCCCTGTTTGCCGCTCCTCTGTGCTTTTATTTCCTCCCCCCTTGAGTGCACTCACCTTCGCGTGTATCCCCCCCAAGTTACGAAAAAAAAAAGAGGCACATGCAAATGTAAGCCTCGGATGTGCGATTAAAGCGCGCGGCACGAACCCTAAAGGGAAGTGGCCGCCGCGATGGTGAAGAGTTAGACCACATATTAAAGGGGAAACAGTGGTGGCGGCTCCAATCGAATGCCCGTTTTTTTTTTTCTTCTTCTGGTTTTTCTTTCCTCGTTTTACATATGGCGTGGTGTCCCTGCCAGGCTTGACTGCTATTTCGAGTCGACATGTTCACATAGATATGCGTGAGCACAAGCGAACCTGTGTTTACACCGCTCCACCCAATTGTGCGTTCGTCCCCAGGTGCATGGCGAAGGAGTGCGCAAAAAGGGTTTTGTGCATGCACGCATGTAGTACGTATGCCTGTATGCATGTATGTATGCATGCATGTATTTTTTTTTTTTTTTCCCGTTTTGGAGAGAATAGGCACGCAATCTGCATAACATACGGGGTACACGAAGTAGGATGCACATAATTGAAAAAGCATCTGGCTTAGCTTATGTTATCCGAGTTGGTCCAGTTGGCAGTGAGAATTTGTCGAGCAAGCTCCTGAGCCAATTGATGAACCAACCGTTGAACCAATCGCTGAACCAACCGCTGAACCAATCGCTGAACCAATCGCTGAACCAACCGCTGAACCAACTGCTGAGTCGTCTGTTTATCCCCTTTTGCGCGGACGAACGTGCCGCTTACCCCAGCGGGATGTTGTGCCAGCACATGTTGGGCGCAGCTTAAACAAGTGACACCATTCACAGTGAAAAGTGAGAAAGAAAGCCAGAAAAAAGAGAGAGGGAAGGAGCCTGGACCGATACAAGGCGAGTAAGGGGCAACAATTTGTCGACTCGGGAAAAAGCACGTTACTGCATATCATCAGTACTCTATCGTGCCAATGTGTACGTAATCCATTTCGTGTGCGTGCCACCGTAGTAGCCACCCCCAGGGGGCACCACATGGGAACATTCCCCCGAGGGGGTGTACATACAAGGGTTACCCTTCCTCATCATGTGTTCCCTAAAGTGTGAATAGTATACTTGCACACCTATGTTTTGCTTTTCCTACGACAAATTTTTTTCTTCTTTTTCTTCTTTTTCTT